TTCTTAGAAATGATGGATTCATAGGTTATAGCTTAGTTTTTAGTATAATTTTTTGCCATTCTTATTTAAAAAAATTCTAGAGACAGAATAATCTTCCTAGAAGCTGGTAGCTCCATATTTAACTGTGAAGACAGGTATTTTTCAAAAAAAAAAAAGCCAATCACTCTTAATCCTGACTGAAACTCTTTAAATGAGTAACTATTTTGTAAATTATTATTATATGCGTCACGCAGCATTTGAGGAAAAGGTAGAAGTTTATTTGAATAGTAATCTACGGCTACTTTTGATATTGCTCTACCGGTTTTTGGTGAGATAAAGTGTAAATTTTCGGTCACTCCCTTTGCAGCACATTTATATAAATCTAATCTAAACCCCAATTGCGCGAGAAGTGAAAGTTCTAAATTAAGATAATAATCTTGCCAAGATTCTTTGTTAAATTTAATCACATCAATAAAATATTGAAAATGATTATAGAGCTCGATACAAGGTTCACCTTCTGAAGTACTTTTTCTAACATAAAAGCAAAAGAAACAACAGCTATGTTTTTTAGCCTGTCATGAAAGAAATGATGAAATGGATATTCAATTAATTTACACTTAAAGAATCCTAAATTTTCTGGCAACTTACCACTCCATTCCACGCGCAATAAATTACTTATTTGAAATTTATTATTTGTTGATCTTGCTAACCCTCTATATTTGCCATGATTTTTTATAAACAAGGAAAGAATTAAATTTTTATTACCGTATTTTTTAGTTGCGGTCACAACACCTTCATCTTGCCACTTCATGAAAGATATATTGAACTATAGTATTTAAGATGATAAAGTTTCATTATTATTTTGCCAAGCTTCTATCTTGATAGCTACCAATAAAGGGTTGTATTATAAAAGAAGTGCAAATCAATAGATTTTCAGAGTCTCTATAGAGTAGTTTTTATAATGAGTATACCAAGTATAAAGGATTGCGACCTTCAAGATAAAGTTGTTTTACTTAGAGTTGATTTTAATGTTCCGATAAAAAACGGAGAAATACAAGATAATATGCGTATTCTAAGGGTATTAAATACTATCGAGTATCTAACAAATACAGGTGCAAAAGTTGTGATCATATCACATTTTGGGCGCCCAGAAGGTCCTGATGATAATTTATCATTAAAAAATATCGTTAAAACTTTATCTCAATTATTAAACAAAGAGGTGAATTTTGTCAATGACTGCATCGGTGAAAAAGTACAAAAAGTGGTAAACACTATGGTTGCAGGAGATGTTATTCTCTTGGAGAATTTAAGATTTTATAAAGAAGAAGAGCAAAATGACTTAAGTTTTGCACAGCAATTATCACTGGTAGCAGATGTATATGTAAACGATGCGTTTTCTTGTTCTCACAGAATTCACGCTTCTATTGCGCGTATTACGGAGCTCCTTCCTTCCTATGTTGGATTTTCCATGCAAAATGAATTAAAATACCTAGAAGAGTCAATATCGTTCCAAGCTAAGCCTATTACTGCAATCGTTGGTGGCACCAAAATATCGACTAAAATTAAAATGCTTAAAAGGCTAGCAGAGAAAGTTGACTTCCTGATTTTAGGAGGTGTAATTGCCAATAGCTTTCTATCATTTAACGAGGTTAACATAGGTAAATCTTTGTTTCAAACAGGTATAGATCATCTATTATATAGCATTATAGAGATAGCAAACAAGAGTTGTTGTAAAATCATCGCGCCAGAAGATGTATTGGTCGCAATAAATTCTGATTATAGTATTGGTATTGCAAAAAAAATTGAGTCTATTTCAGATGACGATATAATTTTCGATATTGGACCGCAAACTTTAGAGACAATTAGTAGTGTAATAGCAAATAGTAAAACTGTATTATGGAATGGACCTATCGGGATGTTTGAGTACTCAGCTTTTGCAAATGGTACTAAGGACTTAATGAGTATTATAAGTAACTTCACTAAAAAGGGGGTTTTAGTTAGTGTAATAGGAGGTGGAGATAGTTTGTCAGCAATAAATACTTCAGGTTTCACTGATAAAGATTTTACCTATGTTTCAACTGGTGGTGGAGCGTTCTTAAGTTGGTTAAGTGGTGATATGCATGCAAGATTAAAGCTTTTTTAATATACTTCCTCTAGCTTTATCTTTTGTAAGGGCAATATTATTTATAATTGTTCCATGCTTTATACCTCTTTTAGTAAGAGGATTTATTTTTTACTATAAGCAAAGTCAGATTGATATTGAGTTCGAACCTTTCTTTAGAACAAATTCCCAAAACCAGAATATATACCTCCATTTCCACAATTAAATGATTTTGATCAGGGAATCCTCAGAGTTTGCGGAGAGTGGAGAGAATATCTTGATGGAGAGAGTTTAGGATTTTACTTGATTGTCCACAACATCAAGAAATAGTGAAAAAATTTTAGAAATAATATCTTGCGGCAACTCAATTAGGAAGGGTAGATAAATAAAATTAGAGAAAGTGATGCATTATAAGATAAATGGAAAAGACACCATATTCTGGGCAATGTAACCATGGAAGAGCTACTTATATAGAGATGAAACTCAGTGATATTAAAAAATTATTTGAAAGAAAATAAAAACACTCTCAATATATCATGCGATTTTCATCTTTTACCACTACAAATAGATTTTAAAAGAGGTCTAATTTCCCATTACTTTTAAAATTTCTTTCTTAATAAAAGAAGTTTTGTTATTCTAAAAGTTTAGGTATTTTAAAATTAATGAATATAATTAAAAATGAGTTTGCATTTCTTCTACTCGGTGGAGTGGGAAAAATTGGGATGAACGTCAGTCTATATCACTACCAGGGTAAATGGATTATGATAGA